AGTAAATGGTCAGTAAAGAGATGACCAGCTGGACAGGAGCTGATTTACTGCAGGAAGCTGATAGTAATTGCCTGGGCAAAAACCAGGAGCACTCACTAATTGAGCTGTCCCTGGAAGTGCAGGAAAGACTGGACATTGCTGGGGATGCTGCTCACCTTCCCTCTGTGGTGATGGAGCTGGTGTAAACAGGAGGGCTTGGAAAGGGAGGTGGGGAGGAGGGATGGGCATGACTCATGGCATCATTTTGTGTTTATCAGGTGGAGTTGTGCTAAGGTTGTTCTTCATTTCACAGACATGAGTAAGTAGGTAATGTGTGTTTCTTAATCTCCTTAGCTAATAGGAAAAGAACCCCAAAGTCATCTCCTGGGGTAGGTTAAATCCAGAGTTTCAAATGTCCACACCTTAATAGAGCAGGAAGTACAACTGTTGCTCTAAATCAAAGAAATAAAAGTAATAAATCATACCTGGAGCTTGGGGAAAAGATGTAAAATAAAGCTAAAAGGTGAGCTAAAATATTGCTGTATTTCTTAATCAATCTTTCCTGTGGAAAGCCTATTGCATGGGCTTTTTATCCAAACAAAATTCCACTTTGTCTAGTCAGCCAGTGCTCCGTGGTTTGTACCTACCTGTGCTCAAAGGAGAGATTGGGGCATAAGAAGGTCACCTGGTACACCACTGCAACAATCTTGTCTAGACTTTATACTTGAAGATATGGAGGCTGTGACCAGTCTGTAAAAGAGGTGAACTCAAGAACAGGTGCTGGTGGGAAACTAAAAATAGGAATTAATGTAGGAGAGTTGAAGCTGTCTGTTATAAATGGTGAAAAGGAGATGCTTGTGTGCCTCTGCAGGTTCTACTTGTGCAGTCATGCGTTTGCAGGGAGACTGGAGAAGGTGATCTGGGATTTTTATTTATAGTGGTGCCCAGGCAGCCTCCAGTGTGTGATATAAATGTTGGGGAATGCCAGTATATGTTGCACCCCAGAGGAAAAGAGCGGGGAGAGGGGAAACCCGAGAGAAGCTGGGCTGATGAGGTATGTACCTACTTAAATTAGTGCACTGCTGCTGCAAAGGGGGATGGAAGGCTTCAAAAATAAGTGAGACCTCCTCACTTATAACACAACCCTCCAGGAAAGAAGTTAAAGGAGCTGAGAGTTTTCTCAGTTCTTACAGAGTGTCACTATACACCCACAAAAATGGGTTTTCAGAAATCTTTTCGTTTCTGGTGGATTATGGTGAGAGCCAAGAGGAAATGGGCCACAGGGATGTTTTTTCTGAAGCAGCACTATGTCACTGACCCACATCTCCCCTCCCCTGTGCTCCCACCCAGGAGAGGGAAGGCAAAATCAAATGAAGTTTTATGTGATCTATAAAAGGTTTGATACCTTCATCTTTTCTCTCTAAGAACTCGTGATCTTTTTATATTTGATTGTAGAAGTGGGCAGAGGAGTTAATACACTGTTCTGTGCTGCAGATTCTGCTGCAGAAAATAACTAAGGGTTCGTGTAGTAAGTGCTGCAAAATAGACACAGACCTGGAGATTTTTGTTTTATAATTGCCTAAAATAATATAATGACAAGTCACATCTATGCAAGACAGGATCTGTACTCTGAAGACACTGAAGCTGAAGTTCTGATGAATTCTTAGGCTGGTGGTCTTCTAACCAGATTCCCTGTGCTGAGGAATTAATGCTGGCGTTCTGCAATTCCTCATATGAATCTTTAGAAATAACATGGCAATTCCATCATTGCTTTTAGATCTGTCAGGAGTTGCAAGGAAGGGTATTGTGGTGGTGGTTTTGTCGTGTGTGTTCAGTCGCTTCAGTAACTGGAAGAAAGGCACAAATTGCTTTTTTGTTTTTTTAATATGCATTACAAATTGTGATTCATTATTGAATGCTGAATAGAATAGGTACTCATTTACAGGGGAATCTTGCCAAGGTGTGATATAGTGGAAGCAAACTTTTAAAGCTGGAAAGCAGCTGTATGATATTATGTTAGATTTCAGTGTATTATAAAGTGAGAGGGGTTTTTATTTCATATTCTTTAAGAGCATCAATCTGGAAGAGGTCAGTAATCCCATGAGGAATTTAAAACTAATCTGAAGAAAACGGTAGTTACAGAACTGAAGTTTTTAAATTAATGGTATTTTGTGCTGTATTTTCATCAGAGGATAGAGGAGCTGCAAATAGTATAAATTTTTATGCTAGAAATAAGGTAGTAGTACTATGAAGTAGAAAATCTGTATTACTTCATGTTTGGTTTGAGTTTTGGGTTTTTTTCCTGTGAGAATTGGTTTATTGACAAATGAAAAAAAAAAGCTTCTGAATTTTGTCTCTTGCCCTGGAAAAAAAATAATTTCAAGTATTGGAGTAGTTCAGCTTTAGCTAATTGTATGTTCATAATGGAGCATTATGAGCATCCTCCTTTCATTTGCCTTGAAAGGTTTTTTTTCTCATAGATTCTCTTATAGGGGAAAAGCGCTTTGAAAATCCAGTTGGTTTTATTCAAGGACTCTTAATCAATTCGTATCTTGTTTCAAAAACAAGTTTTCCCTGTTTCATTTTCTTCACATCTGCAGAGAACACAGCCCTAAGTCTGCTCAGACAGGAAACCAGCCACCAATATTTGCTTTTTTTAGGCACAAGCCTTTTCTGGGCTTCATAAACTGTTGATATGAAGCCGAAATGGTGCCCCAGAAGTGCCATGTATTTTGTTGAGGGACCACCTGGCCCAGCTTAGGACAATGCTGGTAAATGATGATTTTTATATTCATTTAAATGAAAACCGTGTGTGATGCCAAGTTCTGCCAAATTAGAGGTATAATTTACAGAACAGATCCCCTTAAACGTGCCCTCAGCTACAGATGTGTTTATAAGGAGGTGTTGCTTCGGTGTGAAGTGATCCCAAGAGCCAGCAACTGAATTACTGATGACTTTATTACAATTATGGTATTGTGTTGAGTGCTCAGGTGTTTGTTTTTGTATTACTTATTGTTATAGCTTGGTTACAGAACTTGTCTTAGATCTGTGATATTTAAGTCGTGAGTAACATACCAGTAAAATTTACATTACCTCAGAAAATTTTGTTACTTTATTGAAAAGCAAGCCTTTGCCTATTTAAACCATTGTTGCATCTCTTAGATATAGAGACTCTTCTACCTTTTGGAGGTAGAAATTAAAGCAGATCAGAGAGGTGCTTAATGGAAAGCTTATACACATTTAATATCCTTGTACTTCACTTGTCCTTCCTCTCCTTCACAGAAACCATCTTGCATCTCAAAGCAAAGTGTGTTAACTTTGTCATACACAAAAATGCATTTAGCTTTTTAGTTCAATAGCTTGTAGTAAAAAACCCAAGCTAACATCCCCATGATATTGCAATCTCTCTAACTTTTTGCAAATACTGCTGAATTGAGGTTGGTAGATCTGGTCCCTGGTGCAAAACTTAATGTATCAAACTTGAGCTTGCACCAAAGGATTAGTTTGGTGTTGGGCACAAAAAAAAGGTTAATTGTTTTACAGATCAAGTTAAATGATTTAAAACTGTTTTCTAGAAATTCTTCTGGTATGGTATCAAAGTCATGATAATAGATTTGTAAAAAATTGTTTCTCAAAGTGGTCGAACCAAAATTTGTCTTGTATTCTAATTAGTCGTATAAAATGACAGCTGTAAATACAAGGATACATCTACATGTTTGTATATTGATCCCTAAAATGTGTGGTTATCTGCATATCTGAGTCCCCAAAATGAACACTGATTTCCTCCCCCTCCAAAAAAAAAAACCACTTCAAAAGCCAAACATCGTGTTGTGCTGTGGTGTATCAATAGCTAGCTACAGATAATTATCAGATGTCTGCCTCATTGTGTCTGTATGTAACTATATTTAAATCAAGTAACCTTAAGGAAATAATAAAGGTAAAGAATTTAAAGAAATATTAAAATTAAACTTCCATATTACACAGTGAAAGCTGTAAGATTTTGTGAGAAGTGTGGACTGCTTAAACCTTCTGTTTCTCATGTTAATATTTTTGGATCTGTATTATTTCTGAGTATTGTAACAAAATGTAAAGACTGAATAATTTCTTTCCTGCCCTGGGAAAGATTGGCATCGACCTGATTTTTACCATTTAAATGTCTTTTCATTGCCATTTTTAGATAAGCATGCAAAGTTATCTTTGGTCTTACACAGCTGACTCTTAAGGTAAAATGACTGTCCCATAAAATAAAAGGAAGCAAAACCAATGATGCAGTAGCTGCAGTAAGGCAGAGCCATAAAAGGTGAAGCAGGTAAAATGGGGATAGGTGGTCAGCAGGGCAGATTTGAATTATTTTTTTTTAAACAAACAAACAAAAAAGCCAAAATAAATTAAAAAAAACAAACCTGTCATTCTCAAACCTTAATACAAAGTGTGTTCACATCTCTGTTGCTGCTCATACCGACTGCATTTTGACTGTTTAATGTATAAGGGTGAAGCAATTTCTGTTCTTGGATATGGTTAGACGTGAAGCTCTTTTTTGTAGAAGGAAAGAAAATTGTGCACAATGTTTCTAAAAGCTTTTTACTGAATTTGCCTGAGCAAAATATGAAAAATTGCATTGGGCAGGAGAGCTGCTGACAAAGGTTCTTTCTTGCCATGAAAGGCAGTGTCAAAGGAGGAAGTGTAGCCCCAGTGTTCTCTGAGCTTGGTGCGTGTCATGAAGGAGGATCTTTATTTTTTAGTGATCTTGTAAAAGCTAGTCTAGATCTCATCTGCTATTTACCACTTTTATTTTTTAGGCTATTAGATATCTAAGTACAGTTTTCTAAGAAGAATGGAAGACCTGTCTAAAAATTCAGTGGCAGTGGGGGGGAGAAGCTACGCCTCACTTACTCTTCCGTAGAAACCTCTTGAACCTACGAGTTGAAACTGCTCAAAATGTCACGGGCAGGCACAGAACAGGGTTAAAATTAGCAACGAGGAACTCTGCTCAACTTGTGTGTGTGTGTTCTGTTCTGCAGTGTGATGTCCAGGGTCAGAAATGCCTTATGTGGATCGTCAGAATCGCATCTGTGGTTTCCTAGACATTGAGGAAAATGAGAATAGCGGGAAGTTTCTGCGGCGGTACTTCATCCTGGACACACGGGAAGACAGCCTGGTGTGGTACATGGACAACCCACAGGTGAGGTGGTCTTGGCAGTAGTTTCCTGGTTTATATCAATTCCCACTTTTTTTTCGGATTTTTTTTTAACAATTTCACTTAAGAAAAATGGGGTTTGGCACTAGATTATGGACCCAGAAGCTGAGCAAAAAATAAGTTGCCATAAGCGAATTAATTGTAAATCAGTTTAATATAACCTGATGAACCAAATCACATACATGCAGTTTTAACACAGGTGTTTTAATTCACCTTTAGCCTTATGTGGAGGTGTGTAGTTTTCCTTGCAGTGTGACTCATTTAACTGTCTCATATTACTTTACTTCAACAGAATCAGTTATTGAAAAGCAATTCACAATCATGCCTGCAGTTGCAATCCAGCATGAATGAGGAAAGCTTGTGATGGAGAGCATCCTTTAGATAAAAGCTGCTTTTACAGTGTATGTGGATCCATATGTTTTCTAGCATAGGGAAGGACAGATAATTGCTTAAGTTTTGGGTACAGAGACAGTAAAAGCACATGATCCAGGTCAGCTGGCAGCTGCCTGCCAGGAGAACATCCATGTACCATTCTGCCAGAAAGAGCAGAGATAAAATGCAGGAATCTGCTGTTCAAAGGAACCAGCAAAACCAAAATGTAAATGATGTGCAGCTCCATGAATGTGACTTGTGACTGAAGCATTTAGCAGTTCTCACTGAGGAGAAAAAGAATTGCTGGAAATAAGAGACTTCAAACATTTGATCTCAGTGACTGGTATGAAGCAGTTGGTTGTTTTTTTTTCAGTTGCTCCTGTGATGTAACCAGGGCACATGGACAAAAACTTGGAGTGCTGTAGAAACTGCAATTTTTCAGAAGTTTTAACACTTAATGCTATTTGCAGTGCACACCCAGGCCTAGTTCAGGCATTTTTTTAACGTTAGCATTCACGTACAAATGAAAGGATTTCTTGCAAGAGGCAAATTGAAGCTCCTTGATTTTCTTGAGTTTTGAAGAACAGCAGGGTTTTTATAGAGTCATCATGTGAAGACCATTCTTAATCCCTGAAGTGATTGGAAAATACGTGAGATGGCCTTTGAAGTCTCTGACATAACAGATGAATGTCACTTCTTGTCCCTTCCTCCTGCCCTGGTCAAAGTACACGAGATTCCAACATCTGTTAAGGAAAAAGTATTCTTTCCGGATTTCCTGGATGCAGACCCACAAGAATCCTTTTTCCTCTAGTAAAATACATAAACCTCTGAAACAATTACTATTTGCATTGTTTCTGGCAGTCTTTCTGTTTTTAGTTGATTAACAGATGTGTGTATAATAAACAAGTAGTTTAGATCCTGTTTCAAGCATACATTGTGCATTGTCTATAAAAAGACGTAGGATTTTCTTTTTGTTTGTGGAATTATTTGCTTTTTATGCATAAACACTGCCTGTGATGTGAGAATAAACCAGTTTCACTTTGTGACATATGTGATTTGTTTCAGAATCTTCCCTCTGGATCTCCACCTGTTGGGGTCATTAAACTTACCTATATTTCAAAGGTAAGATAATATGTGAGACACTTGTTGCTAAATTGTTGGTGTATCTACTACAAGCCTCAACTTCAGACAAAATTAAGTACCACTTACTATTTTTGTATGTGTGCTATTCCTGAGTTAGAGAAGTGTTACTAACACTTCAACAGGTTCAGATTAAAATAAGAACAGATTAATTACCATGTTGTCTAGGTTTGTGTAGTGAATTTAAGTAGCAGTTCTTTGTGCAGCATAGAATGAACAGTTCTGAACTGTATATTTCAATTCTTTATGAGTGTTTGAGTTCCAGTTAGTCTTGTTGAAAAGACAGGCCACTTATGAAGTGGAAAATAAGTCTTTGGGACTGATAGTTTGCAGGTACTAATGATCTTTAATAGACAGGACAGAAATATTTCATTACTCTCTATACAGCCAGTTCTAAATATGTGTGAAAAAGAACTGTGAACTAAGAAAGTCTGCTTTGCCTTCTCCCCCACCCCTGACAGAGGTGCTGTATAATGTAAAAATGTCAACACCTCCCTCAGAACAGGACACCTGCTTCTCTCCTCCCCCAGCACCGACATTTTAGAGACCCCTGAAGAAAAGTGGCCATTATTCTGATGTTAATGAACCAAAATGCAAGCAAAAGTGTTATGTTTTCAGATTTCAACATTTGTCTGGTAAAGAATCCTTAAATTTAAGGTGTAGGGACATATGTCTTAAACTGTTTTCTTACCATAGGCTGCATATCTTGAACTGAATCTTATATAGTATTTTTGTTATATCTGTATATCATTATACATAACCAGCTTGCTGTGCTGCTAATCTTTGAATTTAGCCACTTCAAAGAGAGTAAAAACTTGTGATATCTGATGTATATTTTGTATGCACAGTGACACTTATAATCCTAATTTCCCTCCCAGGTTAGCGATGCAACTAAGCTAAGGCCAAAGGCAGAGTTCTGTTTTGGTAAGTTCTTGCATGTGGTGTGTGCATCAAGTACATTCTTCAGAAACTTGAAGGAAAGATTGTGTTCTGCAGTTCTGTTACTGTCTAAGATGGCAGTGTATTTTTAAAAACCAGCTTGTATTCACTTTCTTATTTAGTATGAGGGAAATGTTGGCTTCTTCATAAAGTGTTTTTGTATTTTTTCATATTGCAGCTTAATGAGGAGTAAGTCAGAGCTGTTTTTCAGATGTCTGAAATTTTTGAGGCATTAATAAATGGCATGCCTGTCAGCTATGAAGACGAGAAATTTAACTGTTTTAATCTGTTTCACTGATAAAACAGTCGATTTAGAAATTCTGTCAGCCACTGTTCTCGAGTTAAATTGCAGCCTCTGTTGCTGCATGGAAGAAAAATAATTTGTTTGGGGTACCTTCTCTGTGTTGGAGCCTGTGAAACACTTGGTAAATCGTGTGTGTAGGGCTGCAGGGGTTTTAGGCAAGTACCTGGTGTGTCAGCTCAGTGCCATCTACAGATTCCTCTGCACATGTATGTGTGGAGAGATTTGTCTTCAGCACTTGTAAAATTGCTCTTGTCAGTTGGCCAGCTCTAAAACACCTTAATTATCCAAGCTGCTGGTTGAAAGCTTTAAATATCTATAATCTATTAAAGCATTTTTTATACTTTTTAAAGGAAAACTATAAATTTGTTGTCATTTTATTCAACTACCAGGAGCTGTTGTTTCAGTCAACTCATTATACGGTTTTGTATTTTCAGTTTATATTTGCATCTAATACTGTTTGTTTCAAGCCATCCACTTTGGGGAGAAAGATGATAGAAAAGCAAAAGTATCTGTTTCTGGCCTGCATTTGCTGTTAGTGGTGACCTGAAGGACTGTTATGTTATAGGTAGAGCAGCAATATCTGTGCAGGTTTTAGCTGCAATACTTCAGAATTCCAGGAGGGTTTTTGTCACTGCTCACCTTAAAACCAATTTCAAGATAAGTTCTTAAAATTTGGGAGCAAACTACCTATGATTTTTTTTTACTGTTACACAGAAGTACGTTTGTCCTTTTTGGATAAAGGATGCTGGATGTTTCCAGTAGAGATATAAACTTATTAAAATATGCTTTCTTTGCCAAGTCACTAAAGTAAAAGAAAGATTTATGTTCTGACTATTTTCAAGTTGTTTGGTCTTGAGCGTCATCTACTTAGTAATCAATACTGAGTTTTGCAGAAATAAAAAGTAAAAAGTAAAACCCAGTGATCATAGTCATGTTAATGAGGTTGTCACAGTCTGTATGATGCCATTTAAGTGGAGAGCTTAAATTATTACTTGTTTTTTAGAATAAAGCAATCCTGTCAAATGGATATACGTATTTTAAGGTGGCTTTCTAAAAACAAATGTAGCAGAGCACTTGAATACTTCAACTGGATTTTTCATCTGAAATCAAATCTTTTCATGATGATGTTAAGTTTACTCTTAAATGTCAGTGTTGTTAACATTTCATACTGGTTTTTAACAGTTATGAATGCAGGGATGAGAAAATACTTTCTACAAGCCAATGATCAGCAGGACCTAGTTGAATGGGTAAATGTTCTGAACAAAGCTACCAAAATCACAGTAAGTGATTGAGTTGATACTTAGCAATGCTTTCGAATGGTGACTGTCTCAAGGTGCTTATGTGTAACCTTTGCCTCCAGTTTTTATCACCACAAACAAGTCATGGCTCTGCTTTCCAAGACTTAAAGAAACTCCCCCTGAATTTGATTTTACTTTTTGGAAATCAGACAAAAATGTGCTTGATTACATTTTTAATTACAGCATAGGATGTTTTCTAATAATTTAAAATTAACTGTGCACATTTAATATTGATTGAAATATCTAGAAGACCCTTGCAAACAATTGAAAGACACACATACTTTTGCCTGTTGTCAAAATTTGGTATTTCCTAAAGCATCACTAAAATATTGAGCAAACACATCATGCCAAGTTCCAAAGGCTCTCTCCTGATTTCAGGTAACATCCGTGCAAAGAAACATTAGTGGTTCTTCTGGAAGATGTTAAATTATTCTATTATTTTCTGGTTTGGGCCAGGACAACTCGTTACCTTGTGACAGAAAACCCCGTGTGTTACCTCAGTCTTTTCAGGAGGCAGAAGTTATGGTTTTGTTTTCTCTCCAGTTTTGGGGAAGTGATGACGATGAACAGTTTTGAGAGCATACCCTGACAAAGAAGGGGTTCTGAGCATGGGTGCACATATTTGTATTTGTTGTCAGTAATTTTCTCATTTTTAAGTTGTCTAAGGATGTTTATATGAGTTGTTTGCTTTGTTTTGAAGTAGCCATTTCTTTGGAGTTATAAAAACATTACTGCTAAGGATAAATAAAAAACCCTCAGAACCGAAAAGCTTTTTCATGAGGAGGACACATCACAACCAGGCTTGAGTTGTTTCCAGTTCAAGAAACAGGGTGAATAAATAAATAAATAAATAATTGCATCAATTTAAAATATAGTCTCAACACTGATTACCATGTGTTTAACTTGCATTTTTAAATGGCTGGTGAAATCATCAGTATTCTGTCTTTGAAGGAACAAGCCTTTGAACTGTTAATCTGTTCACAGCTTATTTAGTACAGCCAATTATTTAATCAAATAATTAAGCTAATTCAATTATTCATTTTCACATGAGCATTACTTGCTGTAGATTGTAGTCCTCCAAGATTGATTGCATATTTTAGTGCTCTTGAGTGCTGATAATTTGGGAATGGCTATGAGCCTCTGCAGCCCAGCACATTGTGTACCTGTGCCTGAGTGCTGTTGGAAAATGCCTTCGTGTGAGGAGGGGGTTGTGGGGTTGGTCTGCAGCATTTTAAGCAGGAGTTTGTGGCAGCTGGAGTACTTGCCCATAAAGCTGTAGCTACAAGCCCTGGGCCCTAGGGAGTGCCTTGTCCCTCAGTGCCAGACTTGGCTGGGACTGGAGTCACTCCCTTCTCTTCAGGGAGTCACCAGAGAAGGGGACAGTGGAAGTGAGAGGATGAAGCTGCTGAGTGCCACCATTACTCGGCCAGCCCAGCTGTCCTGGGCTGACATTTGGGCTCTCAGGACTGTTTGTACTTCTTTGCAGGCTGCTTTTTTTGTAAAATAAGCAGTCCCAGGCATAGGAACTAGAGTCACAGCAGACTGTAAAGTAGCTTTGTTTTTTTGTCTGGATCAGTTCAATTTCAAGATTTCAGTGTGCCACAGTCTTGGATGATATTTCGCTGTGTAAAGACAATTTGTGTGTCCCTTGTGTCTGAATGACTTTGGGTGTCTTCTGTAAATAGCCAAGTAGGTTGCTGGCTGGGATATTTGTATGTGAGACTTGATCTCTTCAAATTTACTATATTAATATTAGGGGTGTAAGGAGATTATGAATAAGAATGTCTTAGGTAGCCAGTTAGTGCATTTCTTAGGTTAAAGAATTTTACTTCCTGCATGAACTCAGAAATGTGAGTAAACATTTTAGATCAAAACACTTACTGGGGAAATGAAATTCCCCTGAAGTTTTGATTTAGCTCCACATTTGAGATAATTATCTAATTGTTAATGATAGTTAGAAATAGGTGGGTAGGGTCGTTTTGGACAGAATTTAGCAATATATGTAGGATTAATGGGGGCAGTACATGCAGTATTCATGCCAAGTACCTGTGAGGACAAATGTCACTGGTCAGACATCCCGTGTGACAAAGGGCACTGGGATGTTTCCAGTGTAAAGCACTTACAACTAAAACTGAAAGCAACTGAAAAATTAAGAACCAATTCTTCTACAAAGTAGCAGTGCTTCTTGACTATCAAGTGTAGAACTTATGGCAAAGCTTGCAGTTGATTTCATCCAGTGAAATGTCTTTCTTGGCACCAGTTTTCTGAGCACTAAACCATAGTCATTACAACAAATTTCCGTGTAAGCTATTTCTGGCCTTTTACAATTGGAGAACATTTGTTAAATCCTGCTGAAGACAAATGCAGAATTCTTCAGAAATGCTTTGGGCTTTTTTAAGTCTTCATAAAACTTATGTCAGTTGTCACATTCCACTTCCAGGTACCAAAGCAGTCAGATCCTCTGTGTCAAATGGATAATGCAAATCGTCAAGCTGAAAGCCCAGGTGGAAAGAAGCAAGTCTCTTACAGGACAGAAATTGTTGGTGGTGTTCCCATCATTACACCTACCCAGGTAACACCCTTCAAACAAGTGGGTTATTGTTTGATACAGGAAGCTGTGTTTTTACAGTGTTATATATCACAGTACAGCTGTCAGCTTCCCCTCTTGCTCAGAGGGCCTCTCAGTTGCCTCTGGAAATCGGTTAAAATATTTTGTCCTTTCAAACTGGGAATGGGATTTATGAGCATGGGATGATACAATTATTTCCTATTATAACTAGTATAGTTATTCTTTAATCTTGGGAATAAAACTTGAGTATTTTCTACTTTCCTGCTTTATTCTAGAAAGAAGAAGTCAGTGAGTGCAGTGAAGGGGCTGACAGGAGTTATTTGAAGCGATCACAAAGTCACCTTCCTTATTTTGCTGCTAAGCACCCCCCAGATAATGCTATTATCAAAGCTGGTTACTGTGTGAAACAAGGAGCAGTGGTAAGTGTGGGAGATCAGTGTGTTTCAACAATCAAGAACAATGGTCCTAAGGTGGCAGTTGTACTGATCAAGTAGATGATTAAATAAAAACCCACACAATTACCAGAAACATTACTACAACTGACAGTATTAAGGATGGCTAAAGATAAAACTTATCCTCCTCTAGCATTTGATTTTATGTCTGTTTTACTTCTTTTTGTGACTTTCTTCAGTGTTATGTTGTTGAAGATATTTTAGAGAGGCAAAGTGTGTGCACAGACTTTCACATTATGGTGGGTGCATGCAACTGGGAATTCTCTTCTACAGTTACGTAGAGATTCTTATTTTGCTTATTAAAAACCTCTAAATTAAGGCAGAAGTTCAATGCAGGCCTTTAAAATCACTAAAATGTTTGCAAAAAGCTGACTTTTCAGTTCAGAGGAAGAACTGTACAACTTCTCAGGCTGATTGACACAAGTGGAACTATTCACATGATGCCTTGCTAAAACAAGGAATTAGTAGTTCAGATTAAGCAAGACACGCATCTTCGAGTTCTCAGACTCATTTTATCTTGAATTATGAAGCTTCTTTTTGTAATACTCCCTTTTTAGTTAAAAATAAACTAGAAACCTGTAATTAATATTTCCTCCAGGATATTTGTGCTGCTGAGTTTCTACAGCTTGAATAAATCTTATAATAGTAAATTGTAGCTTCCAGATTTTTTAATTATTGCAATTTTTAAAAAAGAATTAAACAGAGCCTTGCATAATTATTTTGGGGACACTATATATATGTGCACACACACATCACACATACAAAAAATGAAATTTACAATTATTTTAAGTTATAATAAATACATTATTAAAATGAATAATTATGAATAAAATTAATTATACCGTATCATATGTTATAAATATAAATGAGAATTATATCGTTCCATATATGCATAATATATGACATGTAGGTATGTTTTATTTTATGTATAAAATGTAGAAATATTTATTTCTTTTCCTTTAACAGATGAAGAACTGGAAGAGAAGATACTTTCAGTTAGATGAAAACACAATAGGATATTTCAAGTCTGAACTGGTAAGTTTCCAACTGTGTGTTATTTTTCCAGTGATAGTTGCAAGAAAATCTAAATAAATGGGCTTGTATTTGAAAAATGTGCTGTACTGTGCTTGTTCCTGCAACTCCTAAGTTTGTACTGTAATAAACCAAAAAAATAGGGCAACTGTAAACTTGTACTTCAGTCTGTTTGGGAACCCATCTGTAGGACACTGGAGAACAGTAATAGGATATGCTCTACAATCACCCTGATTTTTGTATTAGTATCTTATGTCACTTTTCACTCACAAATAATTAATTGTGTTCTTGAAACAGCAAATCATTATGGGAGAGACAAAACTGTAACCTGGCAATTCTTAATTTAAAGGTAGAATTATGAGGTGTTTTATCATAGAAATGATGGGATCTTCTCCCACATGCTTGTTTCACCAGAGCAACCAAGACAGGCAAAAAACTCTGATTTTCTGTTCAGCAGCAACTCTTGCAGAGTTTGTTTCAGTTCCATGACCTTTCTTCCCACTCATCACTCTCGTTTTGACCACATGATAAATGCCTTCAGACTTCATTTAAAAATTAGGTGGCTGGTTCTGCAGACAATGTGTTTTACCAAAAAAGGAATCCCACACTTAATAACAGTAAGAAAACCTGTACCTAAGGAATGAAGTCTGCATTGTACAGTATTGTAAATTGAGTTTGCAGGCCAAACATAAGATGTGAAATGTCAAGAACCCAAATTTCAGGCTGTTACTGAAGTGAACTTTGGCTCCCCTCTTAATGAGGGTGTATCCAACAGTAGCAGGAGTTTGATCTTGCATCATTACCTTTGTTAAGCTGTCAGCATAACAATTCTGACTCATTGCCTATAATAAACCCTCTGTTTTTGTTTAAAAAACAAATCAGAGTGCAGGTGGCTCACAAACAAATTCTCAGTGAAGAATTGTACTGTGTGAGAGAATACTAGATGGTAGAAATGCCTACACTTCCAGTGTTTCATCATGCTCCTTGAGCAACATAAAATCTGGTAGTATCCTCTGTTTTTCAGGTTACTATTCCCTTGCTGCAGTCTGAGGAAGATGCTGGGCTGACCAGCTGTCAGAGAACAGTGAATTAGATCCTGCTTCACAATTTATACTGAAATCGGGAGGTTTTTTCCATTTTAAGAGAGTCATCCCTCTTCAGGAAGTAAATACTGAATATGTAGAGAATATAGTGTCCTTTTATCATATTATAGTGGTTAATCAAAGAATTCCATGTTTAGGAAACATAATCATGATAATGTTTCATATAGTTAGAGGTCATATTCAGATAATGTAGCACCAGACTTCTAGTTCTGGAGAATTTCTTTCTGTTGGACTTAGTTCCCAGTAGCTGCAGTCTCCAGTCCACTATGGCTTGCACTGGAAGTTTGTCCTGACATCCAGCCTGCTCACCCTGGTTTGATGGAGAGCCCATGTCAGCCAGGTGGAGCACAGTGGAATACAGGCAATATGAGACTCAGGAAATGGTAATTTCTGAGCTGAGTCTTTCCCTGTGACAGGTGTCTGTACTGCAGAGATGATCTTGCCTTTCACTCTTGATGTATTACTCTGAAAATTCATTGTAGGGGATGAGTGAATCTAAGAACAACAGAGAGAGGATGAGAGGAGCAAAATAGCTGAAAACATTGAGTTTTAAACTCTCTGCATTTGATCTGCTGTAGAAACAAGTGATCTAAGGAAAACTGATATTTGAGGATGGTTATATTTGAGTGACATTTGCTGTTTGCTGTAACAACATAAATCTCTTCAGTATCTGTAATAGGAATGGTAGAGAAAGTTATTCCAGAGCTGACAGCTTTTGTTTCGTCTGGAAGTTGTAGCCAGCTGAAGTAGTCCATTGTACCACTGCTTAAAGAAAACACATTAGGAGGTAAAATAAGCTGTTTGTTTGTGGTTTACTGCAACAACCACCGGAAAATAATAGTATGTGTGACATTATGCTGTCATGGCAAAAGTGAAAGTATTTCTGTTTGAGTAGTCTCACTTTTTTCCTGTTGCGTGAAACTTAAACATTTATTTTTGTTATGGTAACAGAGTTTTCTGATATTTTAAGAGTAGCTACTCTTTTACAGATGTTGTAGGATTAGTTTCTTTGTATTATTTTTAATTGTATTAAATACAGAATACAATTAATCTTGCTTAAAGCCATGTCATGCAGTACAATTAATAAAGCATCTTCTATGTTAGCATTTCATAGCAAATGAATATAATGACAATTTTACTGAAATAAGCTGCTTGAGGCAGATTCAATTTTCTGACCTGGTTAGGGGAAGAGGACAGGGGTGGTTGTCTCCATGAGGGTATGGAATGAATGTTTTGGGTTTTTTTTTACTTCTTGATTTGTCCTCCTCTTCATTGCAAGTGCCATGGTTAGTTTAACACTTGCAAAAGCAAACTAAATTTTGGTTGACACCACCTTTTGCTTAAGTGACTGCCTTGAAAATCTCAGTTATGTAAGTCTGCTGTCCTGACCTCTGGCTTTCTGACTCCATTCTAGCTGTTAGGTATACTCTACTGAAATATGTTTGCCTTTTTATTTTTCCAGGAAAAGGAACCTCTCAGGGTTATACCACTTAAGGAGGTCCATAAAGTCCAGGAATGCAAACAAAGGTGAGGAGAGAAGCACAGATGCCATTACATGGGATGTAATTCCCTGCTTTGTCATGGCCAGACTGCCCTTTGGAGAACTGTTTAGTAACTTCAGTTGATGTGTGCGTGTGGGATAGTCTCTCTTTATGGGACAGGACCTGTTTTTGTGCATAAATCTGGTTTTAAGGTCTCTATATTAGTGTGTGTTTCCAACTTGTAACATTCAGTAGGATGTAAATGCACCGGACAAGGGTGGAACAAAGGAATATCATGGAATCATGAGTTAGAGATGCATGGGTGCTGTTTGATCTGAGCCAGCAATTTTAGGAGTCTCTATTCTGCTTATATAATCTGTCAACCTTTAGAGGACATTAACTCACATCAGATGTCTGAATCTGGATGAGAACACTCTTTATCCTGCTGTTTCCCTCCCACCAAATGCCAATATTTTAAGCAATAATTGCCTTTGCAGTAGTCATGATGGATATTGAATTTTTTTTTTATCAGGCTACTGTTTAGGACTAGTACTTTACAAAGACATAACAAAATATAAGTGAAAAGTTTTACAGAAATTTGACAAGCATAGTTAATATTTTTAAACTTATTATATGATTTAGAATGTTCCAATTAGAAATATATATAGTAGCACGCATGCCACTGATAAATTAAAGTGTCTTAAGGCTAAAATTAGCAGAAAACCAATAGTAGAGTGGTCAAGAAATGCAAGAGTCAGGCAACAAATACTCTGATTCTCTGCCCACCCTAGAATATTGTTAAAATAGAGTGGGAAAGTTGTACTTGCTTTTGATGTATTTTTGTATTTCATTTACAGTGATATAATGATGAGAGACAATCTCTTTGAAATTGTAACAACTTCTCGAACCTTTTATGTACAGGTAATTTCTTCTTTTAAACTTGGGGCAAAACCAAGAGACTGCCATAGTTAAATACAGCTTTGAAATAGAAGTGCTTCTTTACTTTGACTGTGCCATGATTTTCAGAGGGAAGGTGATACTCAGTATGTTTTATTTATTGTTTTATATAGCTATATAAACGTAATAGTAAATTCAGGGTAAGAACTTCAAAAATGCCTGGGTTAAGAAACAGAATTTCCAACGGCTTTGAATAACAGAGTGAAGCAGGGTTAGGCTGTTATTCTGGTGCAGGTGATCATGACACTGGGAGAGCTGAGTTGTGTTGACCATGACATGTGTGCTGTTTGCTGCAGGCTGACAGTCCCGAGGACATGCACAGCTGGATAAAGGCAATTTCGGGGGCCATTGTAGCACAGCGGGGACCTGGGAGATCAGCAGCCTCCGTATGTCACTCTGCACCTCACAGAAGATGTGATTAGTTGATGTTCACTTGTGCACATTAAGTTCTGACTGTTTTTTTTTTTTTTTCCTTTTGCCTTTCCTCTCTCCTGTCCTGTAGTAATGTAGCCTCTTTGCATGAACTTTTGTACAGACTGGCATAAAATACTCAGTGTTTTTAGTTGAGCCCTTGGCTTAGTCCTACCTGTGTGCGACTTTCTGTGCCTTGTTTGTCTTGAACCTGTAGATAATGCAAGTGCTAACCTAGAAAAGTTCCTCTGAGTTCAGTGTGATCTTTGTCACTACTACTAGTGTGGAAGTTAAATTGAAACTTTCTAATTCCTCTCAGGTGTTTCTGCTAGTTGCTGCATTTTACAATCAAATGATAAATATCCTAATTTATTTTTAACAATTCTCACTACTAAATTATCATTCTCCATTGCTGATAATTTATTGTATTTGCAGATGTAGATTCAAGTTTAAAGTTACTAAGAGATCTCTACTTGCATGAGTTAGTTTTTGCTGTTGGAAATGTGGTGAGAACAGCATCTCCCAGTACTGAACTGAGGCACTGTGACAAAGCTGAGCCTTTCTGAAGCCAACATTTCATACCTACTTGCATTTAAACCATATTAGATGTTCAGTGCAAAGTGCAAATTAACTTGTGACAAGTAGTGAAAGTTACTGTGGTATCACAGTGTCTCCAAGTATGTCCAGATTTAGCACATGGAATACTTTACAGTTCAGATGTTGCATGCTATGGTTTTCATTTTCTGGCTCTGGGATATTTTGTAATAAGCTGAATATATCATTACCCCCATAAGCTGATATATAATAATTTAAATCTGGCTTTTGACTACTTTTGCACCAATACTGTGTTTCTGGTAACTCAGTCTAAGCTCTCAACTGTGTTTTTGGGAGCTGCTTCGTGCTTTTACATAAAACCTCCCATTACAAATTCTCTTCTGTTTTGGGGGGAATGAAAATACGCAGATAACTTTTCCTGGTGTATGCTTGTTTTGTTGGTTTTTTTTTTTTTTTAATGTGGGGCTAACTGAGCAATGTAGCTATGACTGTCTGCATCACTTCTTGTTCCCTCTGTTCTCTTCTTTCCCCGAGTCCAGGTTACTCTAATCTTAGCTTTGCACTGTGTTCCAGATGCGGCAGGCCAGAAGGCTGTCGAATCCTTGTATACAGAGGTATACATCAAGAACTGGTGAATGCAGCACGTATGTGGGCTCTCATGTAAACTCGCCTTCTTCACAGAGGGCTACGACTAGAGACTAATTTGCACTGTAAAAAAAAAAAAAAAAGCTAAAAATAACGCTACCTGTTGTCATTACCATTCCTGAAAACTAACTCGTCAATAATATCGTTCACTCGCAGGTTTGCACTGGGTTTTTTTTTCATGCTTTTAAATGAATTGAAAGCTAAAAACGGCAAAACCACTGCTTACACTTCAAAGTGTGCTAAACACTTAAACGTAAGTGATCTGCTGTCACTGCAGTAGCAAAGTACTAAAGCTGATTTGCATGAGAGTTCATATTTCCATTTTACTTTACATTTGTTTTGAAACTGCGCAAAGGCGAGGTGAGGTCGAAGCTGCCCACAGACTAATCCAGATGCGTGCACACAAAACATGCACCTTGTAACTCCAGTGTTTGGGAGGATCATATTGTAGCCTGATTTGCATGGCTTTGTAAGTCCCTGCATGAAATTACTAGTTCAAACATAGAAGCTTTATAACCTATAATCGATACACTGTCCAAAGCAGTGCAACTTAGGAGCAGTACAGCAGCACGGCTTCTTAACTGTGTAATTACAGCCAGTGTGGGAAGTAAAATCTGAGTATCCTTCAGGCCAGATTAGCAAAAAGTCATAGAGATGTTTCTTAACACCCCTTTTGTCCCATTTGTTGGACTAAAATTATTAATAGTAAGAAGAATAGTAGGTAAATCACTGAACCATATGTTCTCCTAAAGCAAACGTTGTTCTTAAAGTGGAGTATCCTCAAGGTAAAGGCAACGGAATAATGAAATTAAATAAGGCAGTGTAAATCATGTGAAATACTTCAGTGAAACTGAACACAAAACTGAAGTCCCAAAACAGTTGCACAGCTTCACCCAATAATATTAGTTCATTTATAAAAAGAAATAATGGTAGCACTTGGCAGAATCCATTAGGATTAAATTTATGAATTTATGCGGTAACATTCTAAGAAAAACCACTGCGAAAAAATAAGTATTTCAATTAGTATGTGTATTTGCATCTTGGACACACATCTGGGATGGGGTTTTTTTGCTAACAAATGTGCTTGAAAAATGCCTTGGTTTGTGTATGCCCATGGGTTGGCAGACTCCTGGAGTTCCTGGACTAACACTGGTGATGGCAGAAGTGGCAGCATCTGCAGCTCCTGATGCACACACAGTTCACTGCGTTGTCACACAGCATTTGGATCACAGCCTGTAAAACTGGATCCAGCAGTGTTCAGGGGTTTGAGACATCCCTGCAGAACTGATAGATAATGCTGCACAACCTGAGGAACTCCTGGTTCTGGAGATAGAGCTGTAGGTTGGGCAGCCTGCCCTAAAATATCTAAAATGGCACTCTGTGCCTGTGTTTTAGACAATTAAATCAGACCTAGGTAGTCTGGGAACTCGCTTTTATCAGTAGGTAAATGGTGGAAGATTATTTTCAGTTGTTTAAAGGTCGACAGACCAGCAGTTAACAATGATAAACACAAGACAATAACCTGACAATTGGAAGGAATAGCTTAAAGATCAGTTACTTTTCTAGGTCCGTTAGCTCTGTAAATTGTTACACAGTCTTGATAGCATAAAAAAGCTACTATGTTTGTTTGGTCCCTGGAAGAAATTGGGCATGTGGTTACCCCAAGAAGAGGGAACAGTAAAATGTGCATTACTCCAGGATTTAGGATACAAGTACTCAATTTATATGAATAGGTTTGAATACACTTTTCTCTTGGAAAGATGTCTCTTGCAATGACCTTTGAATTGTTTATCTTCAAAAGCTTACTTAACACCTGAGTAAAATAAGGAGCCTCAATTTGCTGGACTATATTACAAAGTCTAAAGAGCTGCTGTGCTTGATTTAAGAAATTTAATGTCTTTAAATGAAGAAACTGATGTTGCTGTCACATCCTGCTGTGAGCTCACACGTAGTAACACACCGCCTGGAGAAAGCACCTGCCTCCTGCTGCCGTGGCTGATGCTTCGCTTTGTGTTATTTTCTGTCTCGATTTTTTGTTGTTGTTTTGTTTTGTTTCCGAGAGTTGAAATCTGAAACTGCATCTTTCCAACACGACGTCAGCGGCTTCATCTGACGCGTTCTCTTCTCTTCCAGGAGCATCCCGAGCCTTGTTCCGAACCCAACCATGCTGTCCGTCCTGCCGGCCCAGCCCCAGCCTCCTCACATTCCAGCCCTCTGGTCCCAGCCCCTCACCCCAAACCCCCTGCCTTGGAGAAGCGAGGATTTCACGAGTCTTTTACCAAGGCCAGGCCAGGGAGCTACAAGATCCAGGCTGTCGCTCCAAGAGAATCAGCTTCCAAAGTGACTGACCGGGGCCCCTGGGAACTCCGGAGTAAAAATGGCACTCAGGAACAGGATCCTGGCCTTGTGGATCTGGATGATGCAAGCCTTCCAGTTAGTGATGTGTAGGGATGGAAGTGTTTGGAGAATGATCCATTTGTTCGGTCCTCTAATTTCCTTGCTTGGACTTTGAACCAAAGAAAATTATAGGAAATGAGAACAAAAAACCGGAACACTGATGTTATATATATGTGTGTGTGTGTGTTTGTGGGCACACACGTGTATATATATATAATGTGTTTGTATTTTGCCTTTTCACCTGAGGGTCAGAAATGGACCTTAGGCGTTTTCTCAAAGCCTGATAGTAAATCACTTGCTAGGGAGGGGCCAAACTGCACAATTTAGAAAAAAAAACCAACCCAAAACACGTACAAAGGAAAAAAAAAATTTTTAATTCCCAATCTGGCAAATTTACCAAATTTGCAACTAATGCTATATTGTGGAGAACTTATTGCCAACAAATGTGATTATTTAATTTCACCTTGAACTACAGTAAGATTTTAGGCATAAATGAGAATTGTTTCTCTCCATGACTTTCAGATATCAGGAAATGCACAAAATGTTTCCTCTGTTCTTTAGTATCAGCAGTGTCAACTGATTTGTTATCAGAACAAGAATTCTGAACTCCCTTGGAATTCTAGTTATGGTGCTGTAAAATTTCCACTAAAATAATATTTTGACTAGTCAGCCTATTTTTGATGCACTCCTAAAGGTGGGTTATAACTTTTTGCACATTTGGATTTCAATGGACTGCATGTAGTGATGTTTTGGAGGGGGGGAGAAGAGAAATTGGACTTTGGAATTTGGACACTTTAGCTCTTTTGAACTAAGTAGGGTTTGTGTTACATTAGGCTTTGCAGCAATTATGTTTCCTTAAATGTTTAAATGTATCATTTACTGTTTTTTGAGAGTGGTTTCCTTACCAGTGCTTTGTGAACAGTTCTTGTTTCTGTATTGATCAGTGGAAGACCTCGTTGTTTAGTTTTGTTGTTATTGGTACTGAACTGTTCCTAGTCCTGCAATCGTGGCCTATAACTTTTGGTGCACTAATAATCTGAAGTGCCTGTGTTTTCTCTCACGCTGTTGAAACACTTTTGAGTTAGTTCAGTACACAAACCATTCCCGATGATTTTGAGCGTTGGCTTGGAGTCGCTCTGGATAGCATAGTTTGAAACAGCTATTTAAAATAGGAGGCTTATGTTAGGGATACCAGTGTTCTGGTATTGCACCCACTGGCTGTGCAATATATGTGTTTAAAAAGTGAGTATTTGTTGTGTGTGTACACTGTGTTATGGGGCATCAGTGATGCGAATGAGGAGAACCTTTTACATTTCAAGTATTGGATTAGATGGTGTGTACTTTTCATCATTTTTGAGAAAATGTTTGCTTTAATCACCCCCCCCCACAAATATCTCGTGCTGCTGCTTACTGTGATTCAGATTGTCCAGCTTTGCAATACCTTTTTTGTCTCCTGGAACCTGAGATACATATCATTCAAGTCCATCTTCTCTCCGACTTCCAAACTGACTTCCTGCTTGAGAGATATGGATGGCATTACCACAGCAATTTGTTGATCCCAGGATAGAATAATTGGTGTCATATAAGGAATATAATTAATTTCAAAACCTTAAATTATATCAGCACCTTCTTTTTGTTTTTTATTTTATCCATAAGCTAACTAACCACTGTGTTAAGGCAGTGGTATCTGTAAATTACTGGTTTTGTTTGACTCTTTAGATATATGTGAAAACTAGCACAGAATTGGAAGTTACTGTAAATGTCTGTACTAGTATTGTAGGTTTTAATTTCTATAAAGATAAAACAATAGCTCTTTAAAAGCTTATTTTTTCACAAGTACATTCTGTGTGGAAGACACTTTGCATTGAAATATTTTTACTGTAGTCTAACATCTGAATTCACTTGCTCTGGTACAGCTTTCACACTGCATGGTCATTTTAATATATTTTGGTATTGGCAATTTTAAACATTGGGTGGAGGTAAAGCAGCTCCATTATGGGACTTTTTAAAAGAGGGAAAAAGAAAAAAAGAGGAAAAAGAAAAGAACTACTGATGTAGTTCGGTAGCATAGCAAAATATTTGTGGTTGGTAATTGTCAGGGTCTCCTATTTATCAGTACTTTTATAAATCTATGAAATTGTTAAATTATTTTAGAAACAGTGCTGTAAATATGTCACATTTAAATTGTCAATAAATCAGTTTGGGTAACTTAAAATAACATCTGGCTGAGTTTCTTTGCACCACGTTAAATGTTTTACCAGAATTATATATTCCTTTTCAGCATGTAAGAGATCAGATTATCTTTTATCCAGCTGCAACATCTTTTTAATCCTTCAAATCTGATCAGGTTGTGTAGCCTGAGAAAGAAGGTGAACAGAATGAGCTGGTTTTCTTTTGCTGTTCTGTTTCTTCTGTGGAAGTTTTATGTGTTATGCAGAGGGTATCAATCAGGTTACTTTTGCATCAAAGGAAGGGGGGAGATGCACAGTAATGTCCAGTTAATATTTGGAAACACTCAGGCTCCATCTGAAAGGGGAAACAACCCCCCTCCCCTCAGGGGAACAAAATGTAACGTGCATTTTTGGCTTTATACTATTGCATGAGAAAGGTTCTCTCTGAGAAATGCTTTCCTGGAATATAGGCTGTGCACAGTTATCTACATTCCTCTTTGACTGCCACATCTGACTGTGAACTCTGTGCCCCTTTGCTGAAGAGGGAATCAAATCATTCTGTGTAGTTACAGATTTAAACCCACTATGTTAAAATAAGGCACTTACAGAAATTGTAACTGCTAACTCTGCAGTCCACATTCCTGAAGGTGGCTGCCAAGGGGTGTAATGGTCCAAGATATATAATAAAGTGGCAAATGCCTTAACCTCATGGAATAACAGGATGTCAGCACCACCTAGGGGTCATGCTCCAGCTTTAAAAATTATCCAAGTCAGGCATTTGCTTTTAAAGTATATTTCATATATAGAGATTGATCTTGGAACTCCAGTTGTTGAGTCACTGGACTGCTCCACATTTGTTGTTTAGGTGTCTCATTTGTGTTTTTTCTAATTCTTGCTCCTTGTAAGCTTTGAACAGCAATAGCAGCAAACTGATTGAAGACAGAAGATTAGACATAAAGAAGAAATTCTTCCCTGTGAGGGTGGGGAGGCCCTGGCACAGGTTGCCCAGAGAAGCTGTGGCTGCCCCATCCCTGGAATTGTCCAAGGCCAGGTTGGAGGGGCTTGGAGCAACCTGGGCTGGTGGAAGGTGTCCCTGCCCATGGCAGGGGGGTGGGACTGGATGGTCTTGAAGGTCCCTTCCAACCCAAACCATTCTGTGATTCTGTGGCCAGAAAGACCTTTAAAATGTCTCATCAGAGCACAGTCTCCTCAGCTGTGGGACACAAAGATGGGAATTTTGGAGGTAGAACAGAGGAATTGGTGCTGCAGGTTGAAGGAGGGCGCCAGTTTGAAACATCATTCTTTGCTAACAGCTGCCATTTTAATCGTTTTACTTTTTGACTTCTGAGGTTTTGCAATTGCATAAATAGGCTCAGGATTTAATAGTGCACATGGCATCAGAGAGTATCTCCTGTCATAAAAATGGCTGTATTAGTAGAAAATACTGATATTCAAAAGCAAATTTCTTATTCATAGTAAGTCTGTTTTATAATGGATGGAAAAAATTATTGAGCACTCTTAAAATATGCACTCTGAAGGTATGGGATAGAAACATCACTGTTCTTTTAACAGTTCCCTATTAAATAGAGGTGGGAGAGAAAGAAAAAATTAAAGAAGGGGAAATTTGCATAGGGAAATTTAGTCTAAAAGCTCAAATTAAAAAATTGAAGCCCTCTGTGCTATGTGTAGTTCTACCTTTTATCAGCTTCATTTAATGTCTCAATATTCATCTGTATTTTGGAGAACTGCCTATTTAACTATTGGATGCTCCAAGCCAGTAAGCTGCTGAAGTACTTCTGAGATCTTCCAGTGAAATACTGAAGGCAGCTCTCTTAAGGAAGAGTTAAACCTGAGTCCTGCTCTGTAAGTGAATCGTGTCCCACACGCTGTCTGCCTGGTCAGATTGGACAGGTCAGATTTTCTGTGCAACCTCAGAGGAAAAGAAACTGGTACTCATTTGTAAAGGCACTACCTAATGATGTAGGAGAAGTCGAATCCTGCTCTTCAAAGTGGTACTTTTCACACTGTAATTATGGATTTGCATTTAAAACGAGTTTAATTTTGCATATCAATGTGCGCAGTGAGCACATCTGTTAAGAATTTAAACCACTCTGTTGCACTGCATTCCCATCACCTCCAGTCTCCTAAGGATACCCCGGGCACACACCTGAGTCAGTCTGTTCTCAACAGGTGGGTGTCTGCTGCAAGTTTTCATAGCAGCGAGTTTGTTTTCTGTAAATTACAAAGTTTGAACGCTTGTTTTACAGAGTGTAGTGTGATATTTGCACTCCTGCTTGTGGGTTTGCCCCTCTGACAGCAAGAAAACACCATCTGAACACAAACACGGGGTTTGTTCAGATTAGCAAGTGTTTCTTGGGGCAGGTGACCTGGTTTCAGGTGAGGCATTTCAAAAGACAACCTGATCGTTCATTCATTTTGTAAATTATGCCAACAGCAATGCTTGTAAGCATCGGGGCTAAATCACATCTGGAAAAGAACATGGAGCTTTAAATTCCCTGGTTTGCAGCCGTTCCCTTTCAAAGCAACAGCATTTTTTCTGTATGTAGCAATGAATCCAGCATATGTTCTTAAAAAGGGGTTTTTTTGAGTAAATCTTTAAGACTTCTCTTACTATGTTAAACTAACTAGAGAAGTCCTGGGTTTTTGGGAGGTGGGAGTAGGGATGTTACATTTTTCCCCCAGGAAATCTGGGAGAAAGCCATTAAGGAATGAAGCAAAATGGTAACGCAGACAAAATAAACCTATAAAAGCTCTGCAAAGTCCAGGCTTTTGGAATTTGCTCAGACTGGAGGCATTCTGGCCTTCTCAAACCTCCACCAGCCTCATTTCTGGCCAGAACCCTTCTAGACCCAGACTGTCACCTTAACCCCTTTCTCTCCATCCAAGTCTCCTCTTTTTTTATCTTTTACTTGCTTCCCAGCCTTTCCATGTGTGCCCAGATGTGCAGACTCACCTTGCAGGGCTGAGCTGGATGTCACAGCATCCCTGGATCCCTGACAGCAGCGTCGAAACTTTTGTACCTCCAGGAGAATTTCTAGTGTGTGATCTCTAGGTGGAGCCTCCTGTCATCCAGTTCCATGTGAAAAGTGGGAGATGAAATATTTTGCTGCCAAGTCCCTCAAGTGAAAGTGTTTTTCAGACCACTTTTTTGGCCTCTTTGAGTAGTGGTAAATGTCTGCTGGCTTCGAGAGCCCTTCTGTGTGAAAATGTTATGATGGGGGAGAAATGATAATTTCTGGGTTTATAAACCCTCTTGGGCTTCTGTACAGATTAGATGGATAACAAAAAAATACACTTTTCAGTAAGCTAATTTATTAACTTCTACAGAGATTTGCCTCAGTTATTCTGGGAAGATGTTAATTTTCAGTGAAAACTATAAAACTAATATTATAAAGTATTATATTTTTAATGCTGGAAAGAAGATTGACATTCTTACCTGGTTTGAGAAACAGAAAAACATAACAGGAGAAGTTACTTAATACTAGTCCACTTGTTTGGAAGTGAACTAATCAATGGTTTTCACTAAGACCTTGGGATATATTTCCTTTGTAGTGTTTAACTATTAACAAACGTGCATCCCTTTTCTGTGTCATTTATTTAAGAAAAAACGTTGACAGAACCTGGAGCTTTCCCACTGTGTGTCGTCTTTTCCTGCCTATGGAGATAAGGCTCCAGTGCCTTCAAGCAGTAAGTTATCTGACCATGGCAAAGCCTCTCTGGGTGGGGAAGGGTGAAGACCCCATTATAATTCACTGAATATTTTGGTCCTGCTTCCAAATAGGAGCTTATAAGATCCTTTCTGAACCTGTATTTCTTTTTTTTACTAGAAGCTGTTAATCTTTCCTTAAATAATTGTCTTTATTTAAAAGGGGTAAAAACCAAACAAAAAAAACCCCAACAAACCCAGGCTTGGATAAATGGATAAATTTGGAAATATTTTTCCATTATATCTATCCATGTATATATACTTACATATGTACATGTATATGTAAGTATAAATGTGTATAATATTTAAGCATCTAAACATTTTCAAACTTTTTCTCGGACTTGTTAACAGTGTAATGATTTTAACACTAACGCAGTTTTGCTGACAATTGCCCCATTTTACTCCTTTGGTCCCTTGTTCAATCAGGCAATTCTGAAATCTCTTTTCTTGCACAGCATAGAAGCTACTGGAAAACAACAGATGTAAAGGGGCTGGTATTGGAGTTTTAATTGAGGACATTACATGTGTTTTCCCACCTTCAGGTACTAAGTTAAGTGAGTTTTGCACACTTGTGGTCACAGTTGGATAAGTTTTTATAATGTTCCCTGGAACAATTAGGTTTGAATTCAGACACCCGGGATGCTGCTTCTACCTGCTCAAGTGACTCGTTGTTAAACTTTTCCTGGGAGAAAAGACTGAATTATTCTGTGTTAATGTAGTTGCTGACATCCTCAGTTCCTTGGTCACAGCACATCTAACAGTTTACAACCCATTAAGCAAGATGAAATGCTGTTAAGTTCATTAGGTGCGTGGTTATCGGCGCCTGATAAAGGTGCACTTAAATAATTATAGAGTGGTAGTCAGTTCAAAAGTTTAATCGGCTTGTAATTGAAAAAAAAAATAAATTGGCTTTGCTCGATTTCCAGCTCTGTTAAACCGTTCCCTCCCCGCTTTGGCCTTGATGCCTCGTCCCTCGGAAGGCGCTTGTGTGTATTTAAACCGCCTCTCAGAGCACCTTGTCCGTGCTCCAAGAGCATATGGCAGAGAGCCCTCTGTCCATAGGTTCTGGCGGCTGCCCAGCTGCCGGATAAATTGGATCAGCCTGCTTGTGGGATGGTGGAGGACGACTTCTTTTTTTTTTTTTTTCCTTTCGGTTGATTAACCTTCTGCTAATTGCTGGTATCCACCTCGCCCTGCGGCTCTGCGAATCTCGGGTGAGGCGACGGGGAGAGCAGAAGCGGCTCGGGAGCATCCTTCCTCCCATCCCCGCTGCCCTCGGGTACCAGCCATCGCCTCCCGGTCCTTCCCGAGCCAGGAATT